AGAAATCAAGGAAATCTTAGATTCTTTATAAGTAAGAAAGATGAATTTCTCACTTCTTAAAATAGAATGCTCCAAGAGTTGCCATTTTCTTAGTTTGCTATTTCAAGAACTGGCATTTAGGATTTTAGCTGGTGTTAACATCCAATAACCAGACACAAAGGCAAGAAATAACTAGAAAGAAGCTCTTGTGCCTGAGGGAAGAACAGCAGAATTACTTTGTTCTTTTGAGTTTAGCTCTTCCCGTGATTTTCAAAGCTTTGTACATGTTTGGCTGAAGCTGAACTACTTTTGTGGGTGAATACTGTCCAGGGCTGCTGGATTCCAGAGGAATCTCGTTTTCCTGGCGCTGAGAACATTCCCTGCTTCTGATTGCCTTTGGATCTGGAATTTCAGTTTGCATGAATGTGGGCTGCCTGACCCCTGCAACAGCACAAGCTGTGGGCAGAGTGAGTTCAGAGGACCTGAAAGAGTGGTTGAGACAAGGCATCGTGACACCATGAGCGTGGAAGATCACTGGAGGCTCCTATGCTCATCGATGGTGTGGCTTCCGTGTCCGTGCCCAACTTCTGCCCTTGTTGTCCCTTGAGATATGTAGCTTTTTCTCCTGGGCCATTCTGATCACAGGGCCCATGCCTCAGACCATTCCTGAAATCTCATTTTTGGAAGCCAGGGTTCTGATTGTTAGGAAACTGTGGGCCCCGGGCCTCAGACTCTAGAGCAGAGTTTGGCATCTTTGCCCTGAATATGCATCACACAACCCTCGTAAGCAGTGCTCCTAGGTGCTTCTCTCCTGTCTTCTACCTCTGGAGCCAAATCCTAGACTGCTGCTTTTGTGGAGAGCTGCTCTAAGTGGAGTGAGCTAAAGTGTTTCTCTATACCTCGACCCCCATCCTTCAATTACTGTTCTCAGTCCTTCCTGATGTAAACTGCATCAATACTCAATTCAGCTTCTACTGTAAGCATCTATTTATGTTTGCTTTGCGTTCAGCCCCTGATTTACAATGTCATCTCTGGTATACAGTGTTTTCTGTGTTGTGTCTTTTTTCTTTCTTTTGTTATTTTGCTGTTAGTGTGATGTCCCTGTTGTCATTCTCAGCCCAATCCATTCCTTTTTCTACCAGGCTCTCCCCTCCCCCTCCTGTGAGCATCTGGAAAGGCTTAGTGGCACTAAAGAACACTGAACAGCTGTAACCAGTGAATCATAAAGAGGACTAGCAAATAAGGCATTATTCTCTTACCCCACAATTGAGTAGATACAGTGGCATGACTTCCGGGATCCATCTCCAAGGTCCTACCACTCATCTTCCCTCATCTTTGCCTCTCCCACCCCAGGGGCCTTTCTCTTCTGTGACTCCTTCTGGTCCCCCTTTCCTGTCTCCTTCTATGTGATCATTCTCCCTCTGTCTCCTCTAATAGTTCCCACACGGAAGGCCTTCAGTAGAAAGTAGGCAGGGAAGCACTGTGCCAGTTCTGATTTGAAGCAAGAGCTTCTTACTTTGTTCTTACTCAGGTGACAATGACTCAGGTGACAATGGATCCTTTTCCCTGAAGTTGGTCATTCTGTTCTGGATAGTACTCACTGCAGCTACTGAGGATATCTGCTCAGTGAGATCACTAAGACTTATTTCATCAGGAGACCTTAGTTAGGGTTTGTGCAAGTCGGAAGCTTTCACATTCCTTGCTACAGGCTAATCCTCCATGAAATTTCCTGTAGTGAAGTCAGCCTCACAGGTGTTCCAGGATAATATGCATCATCCAGGCTTTCACAGAGATGCCACTGTTGAACTCTTCTTCCTGTGCATGCCATGGTTGAGCATTGGCTAGCAAAGATCATTAGAAGGAGGTAGCTCAGTATGAGAGATGAGAGTTCTGCTTGGTGGAAGACTGTCCTGATCCAGTCCCATTAAATGTTGGTGGGACGCTTTGGGCAGTTAGCTCAATTTGTGAGTGGCATCACTTGTTGAATGAATTAAGTGTGATCATCTGAGTGAAAACACCTTGAAAGTTAAACATTGACCCTTAAGGTAAAATTGATATCCTCAACATCATATCCTGTCATTAAATACTTCCAAAATACCTTCAGGGTCAACAGTAACTCATCTAATTAACAAAAACATTATTTGGTGTCCTAACTAGGCAAAACTGATCTTTGAATAATTTTTTTGTCTAACCAGCCCAAATTTAGTCAAATGGGGGGAAGTAACCCTTAAGTTCCTTTAAAGTTGTAAATTTTTTTCTGTATTGACCCACAGAAAGGAAGCACTTCTGTAGTTGAGCATGAAAAATTTATTAAGGAATTAAATTGGTGAAACGTTCTTAACTGTGGGAGCAGAGGAGTAGAGCTACTGTGATGCTTAGCTAGCAAGCCATGCCATGGGTAAAAACTGGCTGTTGCCCATTTTTTTGTGTGTGAATAAAAAGTTTTATTGTAGTATCTCTATGCCCATTTGTTTACTTATTGGCCCTGGCTACTTGTACTACAGTGGCAGAGTTTGCCAGTTGTGAAAGAACAAACTGGGAAGATGCCCCACTGGGCACCAGTTGGAGGGGATGTTGTTGTGGCCCAAGAGATGGTGGCAGAGTTTACACAGGTGCTTTGCAGAGCTGTGGAAATGGGAGCTGGTGGGCAGTGAGCTGTCAAAACAACACTCCAGAGGTGGTTGTTACTTTGATGCAGTGAGATTTCTTTGATGGCTACTTTGAGGGTGCCAGTACAGCTTGGTCCTATAAGTGTAAGACAAAGCAAACCGAAAGCAACAAACATTGGAATCTAGGCAAGGCTCTTTCTCAGCAGTGTCTTTCCAGCATCTCCTACTGGCAAGGGCTCACATTGTATATTGTCTTCCACACGATTTGAGAAAATTTCTGCCCTCCCTGAGGGAGCGGAGCTGATAATCTCTTGTGAAGGGGTGGTAGGTAGATGGACGCAACTAAGGATTACCCCATCCGGCATATGCCTGTGCAGGTGGCCTAGGTTCACCATGAGGGAATACCTCCCTGGGACCATAGTCATGTGATAGATAGTGTGTAAGTTCTGGGAGAGTGTGGGGTCTGTGCCATTCTACATACTTGATTATTTGACCTCATAATAGAATTTTAGAAATCTATTTGCCTATTGGGTTTTATTGGGAATATGGAAATGGTTCCTAAGGAATGTTATTAATTATGACATACATTCATTTTGCTAACCAGCATTTATTGACTGGTTATATGCAGGGCAGCAAACAAATAAAAAGGTGAATTATTTTTAAAATTAAAATATTTTGGAGAATTTTTTCCTGTGGCTATTCTTATTTTTAAAAGTAATTACTTTGTATAACTTTTTTGAAATGAGAAACAGTTTGACATTGCATTTTATAGGCATTCCCTACACTTTGTTATAAATCACCTAGACTTTTACTGTGTCACTTTAATGCTTTTGATTTTATATATATTTTTAGTTTATCTATAAAAAATTTTGCCTAATTGTCATAATTAGGGCATTGTGTTTTTTCTTAGGATATCAAAACATCTTTGTGGAGTCTTCTTAAATCCAGTCATTGAAGTTAAATATGAGCATTCATCTGCATCTTAGGCAGAGCAAGCTGAACAACTCCAGAATCTCAGGGGCTGAACATAATAGACCATTCAGTTCTTGCACATGGTGTATTTCAGGGTCTCTGTTAAGCAGGCTGACTTCTGCCTGGTGGCTCAGGATTCAGATGCCTTTCATTACAGGCCCAAGTCCTCTGCTAGACCTGGGCTTGTGGCTGGCAGGAAGTAGGGATGGGGAAGGCACATGGAAGCCAAGGTGACTGTGGCCACCTTCCTTCCTCTTGATGTCCTAGGCCAGAAGGCAGTCATGTGGCTTAACCTAACCACAAGGAGCCTAAGGAGCATAGTCTAGGCTGTGTGGAAAGGAAAGGTCATAGGTGTGGGTTAGTAGCTTTAGCCATAATTCTCAATTTGGATGTTACGTACTCACTTTTTTTTTTTTGAGATCAAACTCAGAACATTGCACTTGCAAGGCGGGTGCAGAGCTGCCACTGAGCTAAATCCCCAGCCCTCAGTATCTTTAATATATTTCCTATACTATGACTTTAATGTAGATAGAATTTATTGAGATTTTGTATATCATATAACTTTTTATTTCAAAAAATAATTTTGCAATAACTGTTGATACAATGGACTTGATTACTCCTGATAAATAAATGCTTGTTTTAGGGTTTGACATACTATTGTTAGTTAAATATGTATTTCTGTTCTCAACCTAGCTTAGTCCCTTTACATGTGGAAAGTGATCCATAAACACAGTGGCAGTGACAACAGTAGATAAGAGATTTTTACTTGAAAACATTAACTTTGGAAATAGCCAAAGAAAGTGTGTTATCTTTTCTTCTTTCCCCACTTGCGTGCCATCTCTTTTTTCTACTCAGGGTATGCCAGTGATGAACATCCACATCCCCTGGGTTTCACCCACAACAATTGGTTAAGCAGTTTTTTCTGCTTGCCAGGTTTTCATCCAGGGCATATTTCTCTATGTTTAGGCATTAAATAAGTAAGTGTATAAGGCTGTTTTGAGATTCAGGGAATGATTCCACGGACCCTTGTATGAAATAGTCTTGTGGGAACATTTAGATCCTGGGCCAGGAGGGACGAATAACCTTTCAGTGGCAGGCTATGCTAGTCCCTTGTGCAGGACAGTCCTGGTAGATCTGAACCCTTGGAAGGGGACTGATCTAGCAAGAGTGACCCAGGAAATAACTGGAAGTCCTACCAAAGTGCAAACCTTTTTAGTGCTCATCTAAGTGAATAAGCTTTACTCTGTGTAGACAAAGTACTGTGAGAAGTCTTTCTGCCTTTGGCAAACAACTTTTCTCTCTTGTTTCTGTTCCTTTCCAATAGCAAAACTAATATTCATTGTAGGGAACTTGGAATGCATATAATTATAAAGTCCTTTCACTTAAGAAAGTGGTTTTATCTATAAAAATGTTTCAATGACCTGTCTTTTTGTTTTGCAGGCAAAACCAAAGCTTATCGAGCCACTTGACTATGAAAATGTCATTGTACAGAAGAAGACTCAGATCCTGAATGATTGTTTGAGGGAGATGCTGCTCTTCCCCTATGATGACTTTCAGGTAAATAACCACATTTCTGTCAATAGAACTGTGAACTTGATCTTTTCATACTCTGCTGTCTTTTGACTTACTATTTGGTTAATTTTTGAGTTTTAAAAGATGAAAGATGTTTTTTCAGAGGAAAAAGTTATATCATTTTATACTTCATTTAAGAGCTATTTTAGTGATATTATTTTTGTATATTGAGTGTGTGTATGTGTGTGTATGTATATATATAGAGAGAGTTGTGTGTGGGTTGTCTTGAATAAAAGCTCACACTCTTCATTCATTAAGTATGCACAAGTGCTTTTTATGTCCTTTGAGATTATTTTGGAATCAGACTTTGGCCAAGTACATTAGAGTGTGACAAATGGGCTTTTCTGGGAAACAGTAGAGAATCTCTCGCACATACTTTCAGATTGACACTGTGGAAACTTGCTAACGAGAAGCTCTGAACTTTGTGTGCGCTCCCAGAGATGGGCTCAAGGGTTACCAGGAATGTCATCAAGTCTGTCTCTCTAATGTACCAGAGGTGCTATTCCTTGAAGATTCAGGCCACTCTGCTGTAAGCTGTTCTCTGGGTTGATCTTTGAAGTCTTTCAGCCTCTGGCTGAGTGACCCACATGAAGCTGAGCCTGTTGAGAAGCAACAGTTTTCCCCAGTGGTGTTAGGAGCCTGCCAACGCAGGGCCTCCTGGGTCCTTTTGGTGGTTCTGGTTATTGCCCTTGCTCTTGTGGGACTTGATCCTTGCACTTCCTTCTTCATTATTACTATGTTCTTATCAGGCAGCTGCTGAAGTAATTGACATTAACTTTCTAATTCTCTCTCCAGAACATACTTAACACTGTTACTAACATCTGTGTTAATGGCAGTTGTTAAATTGAAATCTTTGAACCCCACCCCCACCCCATTTAAGAGATTAGTTCACAGGAGAGGTGACTTTCTAACTTACTAGAAATCCTGAAAAGTAATTATTTGTTAGTTCTTTTCTGAAAAAAAGGAATGCCATGGTAATGAAATTGACTGTTTGTTCCATGTTGCTAACGAAGTGTGTTACACTGGTAAACAGGTTCAGCTCATGCCAAAAAATGCCATGCTCAGAAAACTGTTTCACGAATAGACTATGCAGTCGAAGGGCAAATTAAAGGGCACTCCAGAATGATGCCATTTGGCAACAAATGAAAAGCAAAATCAGATAATTACAAATTATACTCCTTGTTGACAAATTTTTCCTATAGTATTCTGAGAAAGCCAAAGGTTATCTCAAGTTTCTCTGAGCATGAAGTGTGTGTGTTCTTCTTGGTATTAAGTAAGAAAGAAAAGTTTTTCTGAGTTTTGCAACCCAGAATACAGAGTTGTATTTGTAGGCCTGAGATAAAATTGCTTAAGAAACAAAACTAAAAACAAAGTAGTTAATTTAATACCGTCTTTTCTGCCCAAGATTAAGGAACCTGGATATTTGAGTAGTTACAGAATCAGACCACATGAAATTTTAAAAATTGTTACCAGAAAGAATAAGTAAACTTTTTTAAAAAAAAAAATTTATTAAGTTTATTTGTACATTTTAGGTATACAATATGAAGACATTCATCACTGGGAATTTGTACCTTTACCTCATATATCTTGATTCTTATTCTTATCCCCATTCCTCTGCCCCCGCCTTCTACCTCTCCACCCTTCCTATTATTCACAAAGACTTTATTTCTGTTTTTTTCCTTTTCTTATATTTATTTCTTTCCCTTCCCTAAAGAAGTTGTGGTTTTTTTGTTTTGTTTTGTTTTTTAGTACTGGGGATCAAACTTGGGATCTTGCACTTTTGAGACAGGTGGCAGCACCACTGAGCTAAATCCCAAGCCCAAGATGTGGTTTTTAAAAAATATAAAATAGAGTACTACTCAGCCATGAAGAGTGAGAAAATAGACATTTATAGCTAAATGATTGACATTGAAGCCATACTTGTAAGTGAAATAAATAGGACACACATGTATAAATTCTCTGGTGTGAGAGACTGAAAGTGTGAATAATGCTGGCCATGGTGGCACACACCTGTAATCCCAGCACTCGGGAGGCTGAGGCAGGAGGATTGCCGTGATTTCCAGACCAGCCTGGGCTACATAGTGAGTTCCAGGTCAGTTTCAGCTACACAGTGAGACCCTGTCTCAAAAAACCGCCCCCCCAAAAAAGTGTAGATAAAGATCAAAATGTAGAATAGATAATGTGAAATGGGACGATAAGGCCTAAAAGGAAAGGGAAAGGCAATACACCCCCCCAACCCACAACCACACACTGGGGATTGAACTCAGGACCCTGCACTTGTGAGGCAGGCACAGAGCCACTGAACTAAATCTCCAGGCCTAGACAATACAGATTTTGAGAGAACTTTTGTCCTTCTTGCTCATAACTGCTTTTGTGATACCAGGCATAGATAGTCTAGAAAAGGTCAAGAACTCACTTCATCAGCATTTTGCTAGCCAAGGTTGAATGAACAAGTGTTTTGTTTTGTTTTTTTCTGTTTAGAGGAAAATTTCTCAAAGATTAAGGAGCCTGAATTTCAGCTTTGATTCTCACTATAGTCATTGACATGGGACCCAATTAAGTTTGTTTTCCCACTTTGTTATCAGATAAGATTATTTATTCTGTGCTTTCTTGCTATCTTGTCTTGGGATGCTAACTAATTAAATTAGCTGGATGCGTGATTTTAGCAATGCCACCAATTTGTTCTGCCTGTGTCTGATCTATTTCTAGAGGCAGAGTGTACAAATGAGATCAGGGGAAAGTATTTTATTTCTTATAGAAAAAGGATGGCAAATAAGTTAGGAAATGGGTCAAATACTGAGCCAAATGCATGCTGGGAAGTGATTTGCTATAGTACATTTAAACAATTAAAATAGTAGAACTTTGTATAAATTTCTGCCAAATATATTCAAAATGATTATTAAAATATAAATGTGGACAGTGGTGATTCTTTTGCATATTTCACAAGTAGGCATATATGTCAATATTGAGTCCTGTTGGTAATATCCTTTGGACACCTAGGTGTTCTCTGAAAATTAATTATATGGAAAAATTTTTTTTGGTCAGGTACCTTTGCCTAAGGATGGAAGAAAAGTATTAAGACAAAAAAATGATAGTCAGAAAGTAAACATGGATTTTTAAAAATCAAAACACTCAGCACATAAGAATTCAAGGCCTGCCTTGGCTTCATGGTTCTTCTGCTGGCAGTGTTTTCTCATCCTAGATGCCACTTGAAATCCCATGTGCTTCGAAGCTATTTAAGTCCACAGTGGCCTGCCCTCATCCTCTTAATTAGTTTGCTCCTGTACTGTCCACACTGTACACAAATACTTATGTACATTGTCTTGGTCTTTCGCTAGCTGCTACTTACGCTGTTTGTGTTCAAGTGTCACCACTTGAGTTGCAGTTCTGAGAAGGGGTCAGGTTTCAGGTTTATGTAGTTCTGTCCTCACATAATCTCTGGCACACTGAGGAATAGGGTAGGATATATGTTACATTTCAAATTGGAAAAATTATTATGAATATGGGGGATTTTGTTAGTTAATGAAGTAAATATGAATGCCATTTAGCATATGGAAGTCCCAGTGGCTATATTTGTAAAAATGCTTGTCAGATCAAATCATTTAGTTTGGTGGATAGCAGATAGTTTCTTAAATTAAAAATGCTCTGAAGTAGGGTCTTAATAAGGAGTATACTTTCTGGTGATTAGTGAACCTTTTTTGTTCTTAATGTGTTCTTAAAGCCTTACCAAAGTTTACTTGGTGTTAAAATCTGAGAACTTAACCATAGTTTGCCATGAACAAAATTGTAGGAAAACTTCAACAAGCAATTAGAGGACACAGTTTATGCTTTGGATCAAGAAATATAAGTTGACTTGTTTAAGAAATCACAGCTCCCTGCATAACTGAAAGTAATGCCCAAGACCTTTCTGTCAGAGACCAATTTCCAGTTATGGTCTTCCCTCAAGTGGAAGTCCTTTACCAAATGATGCTTTTGGTGATGACATTCTTAACATTTGTGATCCGTCCACTGAATCTGCATGTGGCTTTTCAACTCTAGTATCCTGATTTGTTCCAGAGTATTCTAATGTTTGTGCAGTTTGGTGAAGTTATAGAATGTGAAAAACATGGTAAATAGTGAAAAAGGATGTTGGAAAGTAATCGTGGTTACCATTCATATTTCATCAAAATTAGACTTTGGTGTGTGATATAAAAAAATAAGAGATAGTGTTTGTATGGAAGGATAAAAAGAGCATGCTGCGCCTGGTGTGGTGGTGCACTCCTGTAGTCCCTGTAACTCAGGAGGCTTAGGCAAGAAGCTCACAAGTTTGAGGTCCACCTGTGCAACTTAGTCAGACCTTGTCTCAAAAGAAAAAAGACTGGGTATACTTCAGTGGTAGCACACTTGTCTAGCATGTGCCAAGTCCTGGGCTCAATGCCCAGTAACACCAAAAAAAAAAAAAAAAAAAAAAAAAAAAAAAAAAAAGAATAAGAAAAGGCCATGTTGTATTCCACTTCTGGGTCTACATCTGAAAGACTTGAAAGCAGTGACACAAAGAAAGACATGTTATTTACTGTGCTCCTGGCAGAATTAGTCACAATAGCCAGAAAGTGGGAGAAACCTAAGTGTCTAGCCTCAGATGAATGGATAAACAGAATGTGGTGTTTACATGCAGTGGAGTATTATTCAGCCTTAAAAGGAAAGGAAATCTTGTCATATTAGAACATGGATGAACCTTGAGGACATTTTGCTAAGTGAAATAAGCCAGTTACAAAAAGACGAATACTGAATAATTCCATTTATATGAGGCACTTTTAGTCAAATTTGTAGAAACAGAAGACAGAATTGTGGTTGTCAGTGCAAAGGGGCAGCATGAAAAGTTGTTCAGTGAGTGTAGAGATTTGCCTTGGGAAGATGAGTTTTGTGGACAAATGATGGAGATGGTTGTGCAATAAGGAGAATATACTTAATATTCTCCAGTATATGCTTAGAACTTAATGTGTACT